CAAAGGCCAGAAAAGCAGTTACACTTCCTACTTGAGTGGACAGTTACAACAATCATTTTCTGCAATGACTTTTATATTTCATTTTATCATGAACTACGATGAACTTACTATGAGATGTAGCCAAAGTCAGGAGAGAAGATGCAGGGAGAGTATTCCTTTTTTGAGGAGAGTAAGCCCTCCAGAATCAGGATGGGAAACGAACATTCTGTTGATTCTAGGTGAACAAAATGAATGTAGTCAATTTCAACTCATGCTGAGCTGACTTAATCTTTTCCTTGGCTTGCTTGGTGTCATTCTTCTAAATCAAGTGTGTTTAATTCTTCTTCTAACTCATCCAGATCTTCCCCGGTAAAAAGATTTTCATCAACAGGAATGGCTCCGATGGCTCTGTTTTCCTGTCCATCCAGTTCGTTGTCCTCCTCCAAGTCACTTTGTTCACCATTTTCAGCCCTACCTCCAGAAGCTTCACTTAGTTTGTTTTCTAAAAATAAAAAGTGAAATCAGTTAAGGTCTAGAACAAGAAAGCACTACTCACTGGCAACCGACGGCAAAGACTAACATACCTCTCCCTGCCATGAAAAAACATTCTTTCTTATTGCAGACATCTGCCCGCTACAGATTTACACACTGGAGAGCTGATGAGGCAAAACTTCTACCATTCTGTTCCCTACATAACCCAGTCACTCAGTTCTTAAACAGTCAACTTCCACATAATGTGTTGTTTGAATAAGTGGTCATGCAACAAAAAACTGTATGAGCAGTTACTTGACTTTTGGTTTTGCAGACAGTAATTAAATGACAGCAGAAATAAGCTGTGAGTGTGAAACAGAAACACTTCATGCAGGAGCTGAAGCATTAAGAAGGATCCCTCCAGCAGGCCCATGGGTGCAGCTCCAGGGCGGAGCACTTGCTTGGCAGAAACGAGACTGGGGGTTTGAGCCCAGGATCGGGAAGAAAAGGAGACAAAAAGACACTTTCCCTGACAGTACAAAGGACTGAGAAAACAAAAATGCTGGGTTTGTTTTTGTTCAGTGGCAACATTTACAGAGACAACTTTTAACAGCTTTAGATTTTTGGCTGTTTCAAGTATTTCTGAAGAAAAACCCTGGGGAAGAGTCTGACGCATCTGCAACTGTGTCCACTGCTGCCCAGCTAGGCTTGGGCCATGCGCGAGAAGGAGCCCTCTGACAGCACTCTCCAGGTCAGCAGGGAGGCCAGGGGCTCAGGCCAGAACTGCGTCCTGGCAGTGTAAAAATTAAGCTCAGGCTTTCCTATCTCAGCTTCTGCCTCAATTGGTACTCCTGCCTTTCTCTCCCCTAGCTAACATGCTAACTTTTTCCCATCTCTTCACAGCCCTCACCGAGGTGCAATTAGACATAATTCTGGCAACAACAACCCTTATATCCAAACGCACCCGGCTGGCCTCCCCAGTCCACTTGATCATTACTTATACTTCCAGATCCAGCTTCTTCAACTCAGCTCTTTCCATTTTCAGTTGCTTTCCTGCACCGGACCCCTTCTCTCCCGCCTACGTGAACATCTAGGTTTCCTGCACCACGAGACGCACCCCAACCGGACAATGCCCATCTGCATTAAGAGAGGTCTGTACTCATTTCCCCTACTCCTGTAACTTCTTCCTTAACTGCAACCTGTAACTTTTCTTTTGCCCAAACTACAAACTGGCGCTTCCAGCATGTCCTAGAACGTAGCTCCATTTACTGTGTCTGGGTGAGCAGTCCCGGAGACCCACGGAGCTGAGGTGCACTATCTTCCTCTGCAATGCTACACAGTATCCCCGATAGTGCCACTCCGACAGCCGAAGCGTCTCAAACGCACAAGGTCCCAAACCCCACATCTCCAAACTCGGTTTCATTCCCCTTCCAGTCAGTTAATAGTTTCAGTGTCCACAGAGTCACTTGCTCAGACAGCAACAAGTAATCGCTGCTCACACATGGGAGAACCGCATCTCTGCGTCCCGTTGGGTGCCCACGCTGGTTTCCCCTTGGACATGAGCTTTCTAACCCTCAGACTTCTGTGGGAGGCAGCGTACTCACCATCTTTATCCAAAGCGTATGTGCTGAACCTTTCCAGACTGGCTACAGTAATGCCTGTCTCATCTACATCTCTTGGGATGTACTGGCTCAAGTCAATGTCGTTTATGCTCACTGAATCATCAACCTTCAGCAACACACAGAAAAGAAAGTCGTTAGAAGGACAGTTTCCACAATTACTTTTAGCAATATTTATTTTAATGAAAATAAAACTGTCACTAATGCTAAGTGAAAACAAATGGTTAAGTATGGCCAAAATTCATTTTCTCCTAAGTTTCTTAAAAAAGCTCCTTCCGTTAAACATTCTGGGTTAAGAGAACAGCAAGTTAGCTGTTATTACTGAAACTGCCTATGACCCAGTGACTCTGCCGTGGTCTCTGTACTCAAGTGGCACCCTGTCCCATGACTGTAAATTTGGCACGACAGTGAACAAGATCCTTGCTTTAGTTCAGAGGGGGATAAAAGTTTTCACGGCTAATACAGCACTTTGGTATACACCAGGTGCCGCTCTAAGTTCTACAAAGAGCTGCAAGCATGGATGGTCCGTCATCCCCTCTAATCCTCACAGGCACCCTGTGGCGTAGTGATTACCACTACGCCACACTGCTGACGAAAGCAGGGCTCTGCTTCCCACTGAGGCCACAGCGTGAGTGCCATCCTGTCATTCAGCGCCCGGCTGTGGCCAAAGCATCCCTTACCTCGTCAGCACCTGTGCCCTGAGTATAGCGCGTGTCGTCTGCTTCCTCATCATCGTCGTTGACCAGTTCCGGTCGGAATTCAAACACCTCTCGGCCGCTGATCTGTTCAGACACACAAGTATTTCAACTCAGGAAAAAATTCAAACATCTCCTGGACACTGATTTGAGGCCGACAGATGGTTGAACAGGACGAAACCATGCACGGCAGACACCACAACATGGAACAAGACTACGAGCGACTGCGTGGCCTGGACTTACCACGAGTGCCTTCCCTGCTTTGAAGTCAGCTTTCCTTCTTTCCATATCTTGTTCAAGCTTATCGATCTTTTCTTGTCTTTTCCTTTTCTTCCACGCGAGGAAAGAGTCTAGAGTGATTTTGGTAACATTTGGTCCTAGGGCAGAACGCTGCAATGAGGAGAGCATTAAAGTCACCTATGCCAGTGTTTAACAGCAGCTTTCTCTTGATATAAAGAATTCCCTGCCTATTACTGCTCTCAGGAGAGTAAACACGGGACAAAGTAACATATTTTTACTCTACGTGACAATGAGTAAATTGAGTGCCCAGAAACACCGCAATGAAAAACATTTACTCAGAGGTACCTTTTCTTCTTAGTGTTTAACCTGAGTACTAAAATGAGCCAAGAAAAAATATTTAAACAGGAAACAACTGCTGAAAACAATAAAAATTAAAGGCACTATTAACAATGTCTCAGTTTCATTTGTGATTCTCAGGAGATGAGAAACAAAATTAAACACCACCACCTGCTCCTCAGAGCAAAAATCAAGCAATAAATATGCAGGAAAATAATACTTGCTAAACACAGGCCAGGTACTCAGTGTTAAAAGCTTTACTCACATATGCAAACACTGATCTCCACAAACATTGGGTAATATGAAATGTTTCAAAGATGAATAGTTACTAAGTGGTGGAACTAGGATACAATACCAAATGTACCCAGTTTTCTAAAGCACTTTTTTTTGGTACCGGAGATCGAACTCAGGTCCTTCCGCTTGCGAGGCCGGCGGTGGAACCACTGAGCTAAATCCCCAGCCCTAAAGGAGACTTTTTTTTTTTTTCCACTATAATGTATTGTATCTTGGGTGAGACACCAAAAGACATGTCTATGAGAAACCCAGAATATAAAGAAAGGGTAAAAAGAAAGGAGAGATAATAGGAAGTAGAGAGATCTAATTCAAATGAAAGGGAGAATGAAAACAAAAGATGAAGCGGGGGAAGGAAGAAGGGAAAAAGGCTTAAAAAAGGGAATGGAAGAAAAAAATGGAAACAGAGCTTCTTCAAACGGGAAGGGGATCAAGAGTTGGAGGGCACAGGCAGGATGGGAGAGAAGGGGACAAAAACGAATTAAGACATGTTACGTATGTGTACAAATGCCACATGACAAATGTAGTCACGTACTGCAAACATGTCCTGGTAAAAATACATAATGAAGAAAGGGAAAAAATAAGTGTATATATTCCTAACATCAACCATTTATACAAAATATTCCTATTATTTACAATGAGGTAAAAGAGTTTTAAATACAAAATTCTCAATCTAGCTATTTCCAATAATCTCAACGATTTCAAGTTATCCTCACAGAATAAAACTGTCGCTTGGCTGAGCTAGAAAAGCGTAGCTGCAGCCTTTCTTTTTGAGCCCAGGCTGCCTCAGCCTCCCAGGGCTGGGCCCACAGGTGTGCAGCGGCAGGCCCTGCCCGCTCCGAGAGCCTCTCACTACCCTGCTGCCCTCACACAGGCCAGTGTACAGAGTCCAGCATTGGTAATATGGAACTGAAAATTGCAAGGCTTGTCTTCCTAATCTTAGGGAGAAAAAGACACCAAGAAAAGGATCTAAGGGCCAGGGATTTAGCTCAGTGATTCCAGCGCCTGCCTTGCAAGCGCAAGGTCCTGAGTTCAATCCCCGGTACCAAAAAAGAAAAAAAGGATCTAAAAATAAAAGAGCGACCCGAGAACTGACGAGCGTGTTAGGAATATGACTTGCTAAGTTGGTCTGAGTGCTTTGAAGTTGTTACATAATCCTAAAATTAATGTCACGATTGACTAATGTGCAAGGCTTGGTTACTTTTAGACACAGAAAAATCATTAAATTAGAGCAACTTTGGGAAAAGATCACAATATCTCTTTCCCTTTCACAACAACATGCTATTGCCCCCAAGTGGTAAATATTAGAATTCATAGCAAATACTGCCTTCCGTTTCTTTCAACACTAGGAAAAAGATACCAGTTACCTCTCTTTCAATGAGATCTTCTAATGAAATTTCATCTTCTTTCTCCTCTTTCTTTTTATCTTTTTTCAACACAAATCCAGGAGGAAGTGCATGTCGATACATACAATTATCACCCCCTCCAGGGCACACCCAGAACCAGCCATATTTGTTATTTTCAATAGCTTCAAGAAAATGCTTGCAGACCTGCAGAGACAGTATTATTCAGAAAAGATGGCTCAGCGCAGCTCATTTACACGGTAAATGCTGAAATACATAGAACAAGCACAACCACTCACACCTACATAAATTTATCTTAAAATCTTCATGAAATGGCAAGTTTCCTTGGACATGATCTTTATAAAGCTATTTACACATTATTCTGTTTCTGAATTATACAAGGACTTGTTTCAGTACGTGTAATCCCAAATTCTAAATTTTAAGTAAATCAGCATAAATTGGTTATAAAAAATAAAATCCTGATTTTGAACTTTCCTGAATTATCTGACAAAATAGGCAAACTTCTTACATCTGAATCACAGGGGAACAAGGTTCCAAGGAACACAAAGGATAGTGACTCTGCACATGAGGAAAAATGATTTAACAAACAGTACCCAGGATGCCCCCACCAAGAAGAGCAAATGTATGGGAATCTAGTACTTAAAATTTTTCTACATAGTGAAAATTTTCAGTATAGTCTCAGAAATAAGTCACCAATTTTTTAAAGTACATTTCCTAGAGTACTAGAATTACAACCTATCAAAAATTCATTCTGGAACTCACATGTTAATATTTAAAAATTTGTAACATAAAAAAAAATCTCACCATTAAAAATCAAATTAATGTAGTTTAATGAGTCTCCCTCCATTTATAATCCATAACAAGGAAATAATTCTTATCTGAATACATGATTGTGTTCACTCATATTTGAGAAAGTAAGATTGGACCAGGAAATGGCATTTGAAGGACTTTATTACATGGTTTTCAAAGGTTATTTTTGAACAACTTAATTTTATAAATACAGTTTAGCAGTTCCAAGAATAAAACTTGATGTACTTTATACTGATGAAACAAAAATTTCTTAAAACCTAAAGAATAATCCAGTAGAAAACAGCAGCAAATACCTTGCCACATAATTCTCCCTAATAATAAATACCACAGCAACTCAATCCAAGAAAAGGACATACTATTTGAGTTTTTGGTTTTTTCTTTTCCGCCTCACCGTGCTTCTTGTTCACTACTTCTTCGAGCTTTTTCTCATCCCAATTATCCATTGTATCTAAACAAAAAGAGAGGTGAAGGCCCGGCACATTTTGTTTACAGTGCCCTCAATACTTTACTTCCTTAAGCAAATAGAGAATACTGTAGTGTGAGTCTCTCGACCTAGCATATGTTCTTTAAAACCAAAGGCAAACATACAGGGCGCTGCGATTACTCAACAAAGCTTCCTAAGTACAAGTAGTTTAGGCCAATGAGAAAGTACTGAAGGAAATCGCAACAGATAAATCTAAAATAAATCAGGGAAAGGGGAAATAAAAAGAATTAAGATGTGTTGCACATATGTACCAACTCCCCATGATGGTGTCATCATTATGTACTACAAACAGGTACTAATCACTTTTAAGCATATTCATTTAAAGGGGATAATATGGCAAACTCAGATTTTTGTAAAAAACAGCAAACTCAACTAATTCTTTATGAACATAATACTACTAAGGCTGAAGTGTTTTTCAAATTATTACATATCAGTAACAAGTCAAAAGTAACAAATATATATATATATTTTGTAGCGGGAATCGAACTTGGGACCTTGCACTTGCAAGGCAGGTGCCGGAACCACTGAGCTAAATCCCTGGCCCTAAAAGTAACAAATATTTTTAAGAAAATGAAAACAAAAATACCTTTTTCAAGTTCTTCATCTCTTGCATCAATGTAAACACTCCGTTTTTCACATTTCCTCTCCAAAGTCAGGTCATGAGAGAACTTGCACTTATCTCCTTTAGTACACTGTCCTTGCTTGAAGAAGGCACACACCACGGACTTGGGATCTGCACCTACGTCAACAGCGTGTGGCATCTGCGTTACAATCTGACAGATGGTGAAGCACAGCTTGCATCTGGGACAGTTACCTTTGGGAAACTTGTTACTTCCCATTTACTGATGTGAGAAGAAATACCACTTACAGGTGACTGGTAAGATATTTCTTTAAGGTTCTTCCTATAGCACTTAACATACTCTTTTATTTTTACAAAAAAAGGTGGCAGGGCATGGGAAACAGGACACAAAAGTTATTCCATAATCACGTGCCCAGTAGGAGCCAATGAGGCACGAGACACAAATACACATAGAGAAATAGTGCCAAAGCTGTGACTTATGGTTTACTCAACTACAGTTTTGTTGCGGCTACTGCCAAAGGTGAGTATTATAAACCAACTAGCAGACTGTCTAAACTGTGCCTTAAGTGTGGCTAGTGACTGGACTGTACAATGATATAGCTAATAAACATCAAAACAAATCAAGTTTTAAACACGAACTGCATCCGAAAAAAACCATAACCACTGATACTTGAATTTTACCTTTACTTATTTTTTGAGCAGCAACTACAGGTTTGAACAGCTCATTTAGCTCCTGCAATTCTTTCTTCTTGTCATCTTTCTTCAACTTCTTTTCAGCTTCACTTTGTGCTACCTATAATATTCCCAGATTTAACATGTATAATTGTTTACAAAATTGTTTTTACTACACAGTAATCACTAACATAACAAAAACATGTATATTTTTATATATAGTCCTTACTTCTTTTTTTTTTGGTACCGGGGATCAAACTTGGGAACCTGTGCTTGCGAGGCAGGTGGCAGAACCACTGAGCTAAATCCCCGGCCCTTAGTCCTTACCTCTTAACACTGGCCCTGTGGCATATATTAAATGTTATGGCTAAATTATTAAAATTGCAAAACCTTTTCTCCACAGATGGTACCATGCCTATTTAAAAGCATATTCAAAAGTTTATGGCAACAAACATTTATTAAGCACTTACTATATGCTCAGCATTTTTAGCAAATGGCTCTCAAGATATCTTTCCTGTGAAAATGATCTATTCTCTAGAAATATGCAGATACCTTTTGAAGGTGAGAAACATCTGGAAATGTACAATTCCATACAACAGTGGCTGTAGATTAACTGGAGTGCTTCTGAGGAGAAACACTTGGCTAGCTTGCTTGTATAAGATTAGGACAGCAGCTGTGTGGAGGATAATCGACTATGACTCCAAGAATAAAGGCAACTGCTGGAGGCAACAAACACAAGAGCTAAAATAAGCACTAGTAGTGAGGATGGAAAGAGAGAGCTCTAAGCGTTGGGGCTGACTAAACACAGAGAGTCAAGGAGAAAGCTAGAATTACCACACAGTACAGGGCCTACAGGAGGAACAGGTTTGAGGATTGGAGGTAGAGATAAGCTCAGTTTTGGACACAAAGGGCACAAAATGCCTACAGAGCATTTGGGTGGAGCTATTCATCAGGCAGCCACCCTGGACATGGATACCAACTGCACTGAAACCAGACAGGCTCTGGTCTCAGATAAAGCATTTTAAAACAGCAGCTTACAGGCAATAATTGATTAAAATTTTGGGTGTATATGAGGTTACTGAAGGATAGCATAAGTAAGTGCCAAGAACAGAGGATAATCCCTTGAAGAATAGTATTAGATCAGTATCGAGTCAATAGGACCTAAATAATCTAATGAACAGCATCCACTGACGCTTCTGCATCAAAGAAATCAGGAGAAACAGAACTGCTCAGGGAAGAGGAACTGCAGGGATTAGAACAAAGGCCTCCCGGACTAACTGCGACCACACATGGTGGTGCTGGCCCAGGCTGTGGAGCCCACACTCAGCGCAGTAGCCGCCTGCTAATGGTGGGGCTGGGGCATGGGAAGAAGTGGTGCGGACCCAGGCTCTGTCCACCCTGGCACAGCCGCCTCTCGGCACCCAGGGCACAGATGGGCGCAGCCCTGACAGCAGGCTCCAAGCTGCCGGGGCTGCACTACCTCTGGGAGAACCAGTGCTCAGCTTGCGGACTCCTTACCTGGAGGGGCAGGCACATCAGGGCAGACGTAAGAGCAGGGTGCTCTGCCAAAGCACACAGCCCACGGCAGGGCACCCCATGTCACAACTAACCACTCCCACACGCTTTATGGCTTTCTCAGGTCTACATAATCTGAAATCACCAAGCAAAACACCAGAAGGAAAAGTCACAGGAGAGGAACAGGACTGAACAAGGGGCTTTCTTCTCATCTAACCACCGTACAAGGGATAACTGACCTTCAGTATACAAATAAAGACCAGTGTCACTAAATAAAGGTAACCAAAGCTGGGCGTGGTGGTGTAGGCCTGTTATCCCAGCACTCTGGGAGGCTGAGGCAGGAGGATCCCAAGTTCAGGCCCAGCCTGGGTAACAGAGTGAGACCCTGTCTCAAAAACAAAAAACAAAACCAAAACAAAATCGTGTAACAAAAAAAGACTCCATAACCAGGTGTCTCTGACTCCAAGGCTTAGAACACAGTTGTTCTTCAGTATTTGTAAGAACGCTGTTTCTTGGGCTCCCTCCCTTCCCAAGTCTCTTGGATAGTGTTTAAAATTTCTAACAGTGCAAATGGTATGTAAATAGGTATCATACTACATTGTTTTGGGAATAACAATAATAAGGAAAACAGTCAGTACATGCTCAGTAGAGACAACCACCCTAAGTCTAACGGGGCTGTACACATCAGCAACGATGTACCCGGCTGGTTGGATCTGAAGATGTAACCCTATGGATATGAAAGGCTGACTACATCTTCTTTCTTCATTTTTGGCAATACTGGGATTTAAACCCAGGGACAACCAGAGCTGTTTTTAGAATTTTTTATTTGACACAGGGTCTCCTAAGTCACTAAGCTGCCCAGGCTGGGTTTGAACTTGTGATCCTCCTGCTTCGGTCTCCCAGTGCTGGGATTAGCAAGGTTGATCAGCAGCTTGGAAGAGCAATAGCTTTTGGGTGTAGGATACAGGTAGGGGTATAAAGGTGAGCAATGACTTGGGGAAGCTTGAGCGAGAGAAACAGGTTTCAGAGGTGTCAGCTAGCTGACTGGGATACATTCTGACAGTCTGAGAGGGAGAAAATCTGTAGTTAAATACGTGACAAATTCTTTCTTCTATCCCTCATTAAAAAGAAAGTGTTGTCAGAAGTTAAGGAAAAGGAGACAGGATAGGTGAAAAAAAGTACTTTATGGAAGACTAAATGCCAAAGTATACCCAGGGAGGGGGAGAGATGATAACCTTCTGGGGAGAGGACTTGCCTTAATAGCTACGAGGCCCCTCATATGAAATCACTGTGGTATCAGTCCTGGGACAGACAGGCAAAGAGAATACAGAAATAGAACCTGGCATATTTGAGACTACTCACGTCCATAGTGGTGACTCAACCCAGTGCGATAAATGCTGGTTTAAGCGGCTATTCAGAAAACAAACTAAAGGACATATAAAATACATTAAATGAGGAACTGTAGACTATAAAAACAAGCTAGACAGAGAGCTAGGGATGTAGCTCAGTGGTAGAGTCCTTGCCTATAACATGTTTAAGCGCCTGGGTTCAAAGCCCAATACAAAAAAAAAGAAAGAAAGCTAGATATATTGAACAATATAAAAACTAAAAGTCGTTAAATAAAAAAAGAGAACTGAAACATCACAAATTATCTGCAGGGCCAACAAAAGGTTATCTCTCAGCAATTAGCAAGAAAAAGACAAGTGAAAAAGGCCGTGCGTAGGCAAGCCTCGGGACGCAGACACGGACGGACAGCAAGCATCCCGGGAAGATGGACGACGCAACGCCAAACACCATGCTGTGATTAACACACATGAAAATATCAGGACTGCAGTGCTTATTACTCACGCACTGCAAATGAAAGAGGAAGTATTACAGCCTCTATGAAATGTGACCTGACAAATATATTAAAATGAGAAATCCATTTCCCCGGATCTCAAACTAGAAGTTTGTTAGCAGATAATCTATGCCACAGAAATAAAAGTCCAAATAGATGTAAGAAGAGATGTACAAGGATATTTCCTGCAGAAGTATTCTTAGCACCATACAGCTGAGAACAAAGTGATAACTTATGTGCAGTAAATCAGACAAGGTGTGACACCAGCCACACCCTGTGGAAGAGCATACAGCCAGTTCAGAATTCGAGAGCTACGGATCGTGGCCTGGAAAAATATCCAAGATGCATGCAGCTGAGAAGGAAGGTAAGAAGCAGAACTTTTTAGAGGAGGACTCTATTTTGAAATACAATTATAGTACTAACCACTTTTATTTTTGACAGATACCATATAATATTATACTCAAAAGAAGAAAATACAGAAATTTACATTACTTACCTGCCGTGGATTTTGTTGACCAAATTTGACTTGATGAGTGACGGCCTTGATAAACTTCTGTTGCTTTGCTCCTTTCTTATTCTTTAGACCAAAGGTTTTGTCCTAAATGAGAAAGCACAGAAGCATCTTAGCTATTTATATTACTATTTTTCCAGCGATACATACAAGTCACTAATTAATTTGTGATAAAAATAGCCTTCCTTACGCCATGGAAGGATATTAAATAGATATGTAAAAAACTAAAACATCAAGCCAAGTCAATACATGACCTCAAAATATCACCAGGATTCTTTACAGTTCAATAAATCCAGGTATCATCAAGCCTCTTACTATGATGCTACTTTCCCACTGTGTACTTCAGAGCATCAGCTCTATGTAACGTGCATTAAATACAATTACAGTCAAGTTTACGACAATATTGCTTTGAATAGGATGCTTAGTCCCTCCCTTTTTTGGTGAGGCTGGAGGTTGATCTTAGGGCCTTGCACATGCTAGGGAATAACTCTGCCGCTGAGCTACACTGCCAAACTCAGATTCTTAATTCTTATGCACAAGATGCCTCAGAGTCGTCAGGACAACAGATATAGTACGCAGCACTTTGAAGTTCTATTTTACCTCAGAATTCACATTCATCAGAGTATGCTAAGGAATGATGATGATATTCTGTTGTTTGTTGAATGTGGGAAATAAATACATTACAGGAAGAAAATATATTAAGTTTTGGACTAGTGTTTTTGGGCGATAAAAATCTCAAAAACTTGTATTTAATAAACTACACTACTAAAATGTATACAATTCTGTTAATAAAATGGAAATATATCAAACCAAAATGCAACACTTCAAAATCTGGGATATTATTAGTATTATAATTAATACTAATATTAGTATATTAATTGCACCAATCATGTAATACTCATTATGTGTTAGGCACTAATGGTGATCTTTGCCTATTGACTCATATTTAACATACAGTACAAAATACTGAGGAGCCACTGTGCAAGTGTGACTGTGTGCACGTGTGCCTAGGGGTTGTAGTGTGATAGTGTCCCTCCAAGATTCACAGCCACTGGACCTTGACTGTGGCTGTATTTGAGAACAGGTCTTTGCAGATATAATCAGATGAGTGCACAACACGCCAAGGTAAGCCCTAAATCAAATGACTTCTGTGTCCATAGGAGGGCAGAGAGAAGCCAATGTGGAGACAGCAGAGAGACCAGAGACACAATTACAAGCTAAGGAACACGAAGGATGGCTTGAAGCTCTGAGAAACTAGGAAGAGAGAAAGATTCTTCCCCGAAGCTTCAGAAGACATGGCCCAGCTGCCACTTTGACTTCAGGCTTCTAACCTTCCAAACTGTGAGAGAATGGGCCACCTGGTTTTTGGTAATTTGTTACAGTACCCATAAGAAACTAATACAGTGAGCTTTACCCTAACACAGACGGGTAGCAAGTCCGACAGGAAACCACCAAATACTTGTATTTGAAGTCCTTTTGTTCTGTCTCTTTTTTCCTCTGAAAGGCTCATCTGGCTGAAGAAAAGCCTGGCTACAAGACCAGAACAGACATGAGGTAGAGAAGGTGCCTGAGTACATGGAACAAATTCCATGGGGCCACTTTCAGGCCCACACGTTAGCCTCTCCTCCCATCCCCTGTGCCTACTGTTGCAGAAGCACAGAGGTCCCTTGTTTGTTTGTTGTTTTCTGCCTTGTTGTACGGAGAGCTGCCTCACTGAGTGGCTGAACTTCTAACACTCTCACTCCAGTTTTCAGGTGGCCCTCCGTGGCTCCTAACATCCCCTGCTGACTCTTCCCGTAACTCTGCAAAGCAAAGTCATCTGAACGGCACACTCCTGGGTGGACACTCAGTACTGACTGTGCTGTTCCCAGTCTGTTCCTGGCGCATCCACTCACCACTAGGCTCACACGCCGAGGCTCGATTCTAGACGCTTCCTACTTTCAAAATACAATGTCTAGTTCTCTTTCTCATTCTCTTATTGATGGGTGGTTTCAGAGAGGAAGAAGAGGCAAAAAGGTCTTTATTTTGACACCCTGAGAGACATTTAGCCTGAAACAAACAAGTTTTCAGAATTTTAGGATTCAAAAATAGTCAACACAACGTAATCTTTGTAGTATCTCAAAACCAATAAAATAGATCTTTCACTGACTTGAAGATTGAAAAGTTCAAGAGAGTTTTGGGTCTGAAAGGCCATGACATAGATTATACATCCACGTAGCTTTTCCTTAAATACCTGTTTTAATATCCCAAAACAGTATTATGAAATCTTCATGAATTTTCTGCAGATTATGTACATGAAAAAAGGTAGTACCCACAAGCTGAAGTTCTCTGTCTCAAGCCTTTTGTGCACGGCACCCCTTGGTTTTACACAGAATGTATAAGACTTCAATTCAAAGGTAAGCTGGATAAAGGCAATGTGATTTATGCAGAGAGATGATTGTTCAACAGCAACCAATTGTGAACAGCCATACTTATTACAAAAATGAGCTGTCACAAGAGGGAGAGGAGACTGTACATAAAACATGACTGGGATCAAAGTGCAACCTCATGTATAGATGCTTTGCCAGGTAAGAATATAACTGGGGTTCAACCTGTGGCCCATATATAATGACAGAGAAGCAGTCAACTATGAGTAAGTGAGACCAAAGAGCAAGGCAGATACTGACATATGAAAGATCAGGAAAGAAAAAAGTCTCTAGGGGACCTGACCCAATGGAAAAGCATGCACAGCAGCAGTTTCTGGCAGAGGTATATATAAATTCCGGACTCCAAAGGAAAGTCTTCAGGTGTTACTACATGCTAGCACACACAGTCGAAAGAGGTAACAAATGAACTGTATTTTGAAACTCTTTAAATAGGGTTCAAAAATTATCTTTGAAAGGGGACAGATTTATCTAGCATTTACAAGGCATATTTTATTGAATCATCCTAACAGTCTTATGATAAACAATTGTCTTTCCGTAAAGTCTAGAAACTCAGAAAGGTACATGTCTTTTGAAGTTATGTTGCTAATAAGGAATACGTTGCACATATTTAAGAGTTGTAAAGATTTCAGGTTGTAAAGATTTAAGAGTCTAAACTCATAGGCATGTCGAACTCACAACGGGACTGGGCATGGCTGTTATAATTTAAAAAAAAATTGAAGTTTTGTTAGTTATTACATTAATTATAGTATATGTTTTATTATGTTATTTAGCCCAAGACACTTGCTCTTCATTCAGTGAGGCTCAGACAAGCCAGGCCGTCCACCCTGTGGGCCATGGGGTGGACAAGTCTGCTCCAAAAAAGAGCTGGATTAACTTTTGGTCAATTTCCCTATTGGAAAAGTGGGTTTCATTCTTACTTTTCGCAGTTAAATGATTCACAGCAGAGACGCAGAATAGCACAGCGGCTGATGCCAGATTTCCTGAGTTTGAATCCCAGCTCCGTTGTTTGCCAGTTTAGTAATCTAGGCCAACTTATTTAACCTGTGTGTCAGTTTCCTCAACTGAGAAAGGGTAATAATACTTACCTGACCGCTAGTATTAAAGGAGCTATGCAAATTTGTCACCTACTCATAGCTCGGGTGTTTTTCTTCCTCTTCCTTGCTCAAAGCAGAGAATTGTGACTAGCCCAGTAAGTGTAAATTATTAATGATAGATGACATTGACCAGATTAAGCTAAATTCGTCTTCTTTCCACCATGAAGAAATACGTAAGTAACTTGGTTATGTTATTGAGCAGTTTGGTACCTAAAGTCTTTCCAAACAACCTACTGGAGGACCTGGGATACCAGTATTATTATCTCTTGAAAATAGGACAGTTTACAATTTGGACTACTTCAATAAAGCCTTTTCCTTTTTTCCTGACCTCAGGACAGACTTTTACCTACCTGGATTTGGGAGCTGGGGGAGTATGAGAGGCTGGAAAAGGAGGTAACAGGTTACAAGCCATGGTTAAGACAAAATTAGGGACTCCAGACACACTCAGCCACCTCATCTTTGACAAAGGAGCCAACCACACTCATTGGAGGAAAGACAGCCTCTTTAATAAATGGTGTTGGAAAAACTGGATTTCAACCTGTCAGAGATTAAAACTAGACCCATATCTACCACCATGGACTAAACTAAGATCAAAGCGGATTAAAGGTCTAAATATTAAAACAGAAACGCTAAACTTGATGGAAGATAAGTTAGGTAGAACTCCTGAAGACTTTGGCATAGGGAAAGGCATTATGAACAAAACCTCAGTAGCACGGCAACTAGCAGAAAGAATCAACAACTGGGATCTCATCTTATTAAAAAGCTTCTGCACTGCAAGAGAAACCACCAACAGAGCTAAGAGACAACCTACAATGTGGGAAAAAATTTTTAGCAGCTGTTCCTCAAACAAAGGACTACTATCTAGAATATATGAAGAACTGAGAAAAATCAGACCCCCCCAAATATAAAGACCCAACTCAAAAATGGGTATCTGAAATGAACAGACATTTCTCAGACAAAGAAGTAAAAGCAGCAAATAAACATATGAAAAAATGTTCAACATCACTGGTTATTCGAGACATGCAGATGAAAACAGAGATTCCATCTCACCCCAGAAAGAATGGCTGCTATCAAGAAATCAACCAATAACAAATGCTGGTGAGGTTGTGGGGAAAAAGGAAGCCTTCTTCATTGTTGGTGGGAGTGCAGACTGGTGCAACCACTATGGAAATCAGTGTGGAGATACCTCAAAGAACTAGGACTAGAGGTCCCATTCGACCCAGCTATTCCCCTGCTGGGTATCTTCCCCAAAGAATTAAAAGAATCATACCACAGCAATACATGTGCACCCATGTTCATAGGAGCACAGTCTGTTATAGCTAAGACTTGGAAACAGCCCAAGTGCCCATCAACTGGAAACTGGATAAAGAAAATGTGAGGTTTTTTTTATAAAATGGAGTACTACTCAGCCATAAAGGAGAAACCAGAGACATTTATAGCTAAATGGATGCATATTGAGGCCATACTCTTAAGTGAAATAAATAGGACACACGTGTAAATACCAAATAGTTTCTCTGGTGTGAGAAACTGAAAGTGTAAATAAGGATTAAAATGATTAAAACAAATAATTGATAATTTGAAATAGGAAGAAAAGATCCAAAGGGGTAGGGGAAGTGGGAGGGAAAGGGGAAAGGAAAGAGGGGAAGGGAAAGGAAAAATTTTAAGAAAAGGGAAAAATGGAAACAAAGTCTTTGTACATAGGGAAGGGAGGACAAGGAATGGGGAAAACATAAGAACCAAGATACAGCATGTACAGGTACAAGCACCCAATGATAAATGTAAATGTACTGTATACCTAAAATGTAGCAATAAAAGAATTTAAGGGGAAAAAAAAGACAAAATTAGGGAAACAGTGGCCCTCACTGGATCAATAAGGTTCTAGGAGTTAGGCTGCAGGGAGAGAACAGCGTGTGTATACCTGTTTCAGTAGAAGACTTGGGAATCAAAATACAAAAAAGTTTGGAAAACAGGTCATTAAAAAAGAATGGCTCCCTGAGGTTCCTCCAGCCTTAACACACAGTGAACACTGGACTTCACTTAAAACTCTGGCCCTCTATCTAGTCCTCATTCCACTCTTAAATAATCCTGCTCCTTCTACAGGCCTTATCATCCTTAAAGATGCTGAGAAAAAAAGGAAGCAGGGGAAGGGCAGGGCAACCCTGACCACCGTTTTGAGACCGGCTTCTACTGCGAGGGACACCAGGTAGGCAGAAGGTGGCAATGTTCTACCTCATCCACCTCCCCTGGACACACTATTGAATGCATTTGCTGTCCATCTCTGGAGTGCACATTCTGCAACTGATTAATCCAGCTTCAAGTACAGTGGACCCTGGAGCTTTGACTGGCCTGACATACAAACACCTTGGGTTACGACCAGAGTTTGTTTTAACTTGCAAAGTCTTGAGTTGTGACCCCCATGCCTTGTCCTTCTAGAAGGTCTCAGATACACATTTAACCCTTAAAGAATTCTGGAAGGAACATGACAGGATCCTTTCCTGTGTGGGGTTAAGTGAGAAATCCTTGGCCAGTGTCTGTCTAAGGACAGAGATCTGCCTGTATACAGGAGAGACTTTGAAAACTGTGTAGAGGAGCCTGAGCCTTCAACTGACCAACTTGAGTTACAACCAGCCCTTGAGAACAAATTGAGTTTGGAAGTCAAGGGACCACTATACAGTTGATCGGTTCCCAAGGGCTGGTTTAATTCAAATTGGTCAATAGAGCTGAGATCTGGATACACACTACAGATAACAAGAGGTGGATGAATCTTCCACTAACTTAATAAACCCAAGTTGTTCTTATGTCAGGCTGGTCGTAACTTGAGGGTCCACTGTAAACAACAATGGAGCTTAGCTGAAGTTCTTCATTAGCAACCAATTCCTTTTTCTCCATCCTTTATATACTGGGCTCCTGCCTCTATAGGTTCCTATTACTGCATTACTTCTTTGCTGCTACAAGTCTGTCAGTGGATATGCTTTATTCACTTGCTCTAAACCCAATATTGATTTTTTTCTATAACCAAACATTCTATTGCTCAAAGTGACTTCCATTTATTAAATGTTAGCTACAATAAATGGTAGTACACATCTTTTAGGAATGTGTGAATAGCTAAGAGAACCATAACCTCTTTGATGTATGTACTTCAGAAGGAAAATACTTATTCATGCAAATAAATTCTGGAGTGTTTAAAAGAGAAAAAGAAAAAAAATGCAGGCAACAAAGAAATTATTCCCAGTGAGGAAGAAGTAATAAGCATAGACAGTGTAGGCCAGCCTGTAATTATTTCCTCTAACTAGTTTTGTATTTATAATATTAACAGTAGCTGCCATCTATGAAATATATACACAAATATATGCCACATGGCAGGCACTTTATCTTATTTAACTCAGTTTTGTAATAACATGGAAATCAGCTCCACTTTGCAGATCAGAATAGCACTTTAGATAGATCATGTAATTTGTTCATACATATAGAGCAGTGATGGTGAACCTTTTAGAGAGAGTGCCCAAACTGCAATCCAAAGGCCACTTATTTATTGCAAAGTGCCAATACTGTAATTAAACCTGAATACTGAGGTTTTAGTTTGGAAAAAACTCATACATTAACAACTTTTGTCTTAAAAGAAAAACAACACATGTGCCATAGGTTTGCTACCATTGCTACAGAGCTAGATTTGAAGTGACTCAAACCCATAGGACTCCAAAGCTGGTGCTTCCTTCATTAAATTATTGCTACCTCTTAAACTGAGGATACAGCTCAATAGTAGAACACTTGACTAGTACATGTAAGGCCCTAGGTTCCATCCCCACTAGCACTAACTCACATAAATATGTAACGCTACATTTCAGGGATCTTTTTATTTCCTCTACTTAAAAGTTCTCAAAAATTGCACATTAGCTTTGTGTGGTGGCACTCGCTTGAATCCCATCACTCACGGAGGCTGAGGTGGGAGGACGACAGGGCCCAGCCTAGAGAATTTAGTGATTTATGGAGACCCTGTCCCACAATAAAAAATAAAAAATGGTTGTGGATGTAGCTTTGTGTGAAGGCCTTGAGTGTGACGCCTAGTAATGGAAAAAAGAAAGTTGTATGTCGTTTTTCTGCAATCAGCATCTACAACAGCAGTAGCGGCAGTAACAAAGGTACAGAGGATGAAACAGGTAGGTAGGCAACCATTTCTTTTAAAGTCCACTCAAAAGTACTTAAGGGGCAGGGGAGAGTGTACTTGGGGGGCACTGCATACTTAGGACACCAAGGCTCTGGGTCTGATCCCACCACACCCTACTGAAAAGCACACGTTCCACTTAACCATTCATTCTGACCCATTTAGAATTCCAGGTCATGTATGTTCATTATGAACATTTTACTTTAACTTTTATGCTTTGGGAATAAAGAGCCTTTCTGGTTAGAATTTTGGAAATTTATACAAAAAGTAAAAAGGTGCTACTGTATTTTAGATGAGGCTTGGCTGGTGAGCTCACCTTGCCTCACGTTCCCATATCCCTTGCCATCGTCATGGAGACAAGCTGGGGGTTTAGGACAGAACAAAAGCAAACCAAGTTAATTCCACCACTCCTAACAATTCGTCAGTTAAAGAGTCCAACTAACTCCTTTTTTGCATTCTTCTTTGGAGATACCGTAGCTAATGAAAATTTGCTTTTTCTTGTTAACTTTAAAAATAATCTTATTTGCTGGGAGCTGAGGGTAGTTCAGTGGCAGAGTGTGTGCTTAGGAGGCTCTGTGTTCAATCCCACATCAAAAAACCCAAACAAAATGAAAAAATCTTGTTACAAGATGAATGGAGACACACGTATGTTAATATTTTGAGTTGACAGGACACTCTAACATCCATACATATTCCTGAAAAAAAATTAAGCCTTAACAATTAAATTAAAACTAAATCTCTATGATGCATAAAACACACTTTAAATAGTCATCTAACACTTATTTTCATAAGGGAACTTTTGCTCTGTACTATAAGACACTTCCACATGTCCTTCTTGTTTTACATAGCACTGAATGCCATCAGGTTCTCATCCCCAAGACGCTCATTTGTGCCAGGAATCCAGGTTGTTCAGAAAGGTATCAGTTACCACAGACGTGAAGGTGTCCCCATTTTGTTTTCAAATGTCTGGCTCTGGCACTACCCAAGTTATAAGCAGTAGAAATTAGCAATAAGAATGCAGGATCTACTTCAGAGTCAAAATGTGGCCAAGATTACTGAAATTTTTCACAAGCATTTAAACCAAATCAGCAGACTTTTAAAAAATATTCAGTATCTGCCTAGGTTCTGACTAGATTTGTACAATGGAACCCCGAGGACTTTCACTGCCGGTCTGCAGGGCTGTAATAACCAGATATTAAACAATCAGTAATAAACCTTTCAAAACACCATTCATTTTGGTTTAGTGAGAAGTATTCCACAAATGGCTATCCATACTTCAGATATCTTTTGCAGCAAAATAATTATAGCCTTTTCCAATTACACCAAAAACTCGCGACGTATTTTTATTGACGAAGATTAAAAGGAGAAATCCAGAAGAAATATCTCACTAGGGCTACAGGGTGTGTTTAAGGAATATCAAATCGGTTCACTATCTTAAAGAAACTCACTGATACAACACTGGGAAACAGCTGTAGTACACTTACCGTCATTACCGTTCCTTGGCCATTAAAAGGTTACTGGCTCAATGTACTAAACACACACACATACACACCCACACACACACTGGGAAATGATACTTAGCACAACTACTGACACAATTTAATCTCTTTTAAAGCGTTTTTTCATCTACTTCACATCATATGCACCAGACGCTGTGTGCAACATGGTGGTCTGCAATCTGAAAGAAAACCTCCGCTTTTTATGGGAAAGTTTACAGATGGATCAAAAAGGTCACTAAGGAGTAATGCGTTAACTCGAAAAAATGAACACTACTTCTCCGGGGTGATAGGTTAAAAAAAACCAAGGAAAACAAAGGCCCGCCGCGAGTCGGCCTTCCAGACTGACCCAAGCCCGCTGAGGATGTTCTCCTCCGACACCGGCCTAGAGACGCCCGAGAGGCGAGGGCCTGAAGGACAGAAACCCGGGCTCACCCGGCCCGGGAAGGGCGAAGGCAAGCGGGGAGCCCGCGTGCGGGGGGCGCCGGCCGCGTCACTGCGGCGACGAGGGGCAGCGGGCGTCAGCAGGGCCGGAAGCGGCTCGGGGCACGGAGCCCAAGGTGGGCACACGCGGGCCGCGCTCCGCAGCCTCGGGCGCGGCGGAGGAGGCTCGCGGCGCGAGTGGGGGAGGGGCGAGCGCTCACCTCAATAATCTTCTCCTTCTTTTTCTGCTCCGCCTTTTTGCTGCCCCCGGCCTGAGCCTGTTTCTTGGGGGGCATTGCGGAGAGAGGTGGCACCGGCCAGACTTAAGGACAGATGGATGCCGTGAGGGACTTTGGCACCACAGCAGGAGAAGGAAGACAGGACCGCCGTCGCAGCCGCAGCGTACGGAAAGCGAGGTGCTCATTCGTTGCCGAATCGCGGCGTTTGCGACAGGTCGGGGTCGCAGAGCATTGTGGGTAGCAAAGAGCAGCGGTCGGAAGCGGAGCTGCGCCTGCGCGCTGGCTTTGTCTGGCCAGGACGGGGCGGAGACCCGACGTGGGAAAGTGAGCGGACGTCACAGGTGCCGTTGCCAGCCCACTCGGCCGTCTGTAGGTCCCAGCCCACCTGTGGTTGATCCGGGGCGACCTGTCAGGGTTCAGGCGCGGCCGTCTCCGCGCCCCCTCGAGGATGAGCGTCTTGTGTCAGTCGTGGCCTCCGGGGCATGGTCTTCTCCACCCCGAGAGCTCATCGAGCAGCCGCAGCAGCCCCCGGCGGCCCCGCCGCCTTCGTTCCCAGTCACCTCTGGAGCCGGCGGGGCAAGTGTGGATGGCGGCGCCAGTGCGGGTCTTCGCCGTCTTGCGAAGGGTCGGGAAGAAAGGGCAAACGTTTCATTTGAAGAGCGCCAGGGGTGTCGTCCCAGTGAATGGGGCTCGTGAAGTGTGAAGCACTGCATTATTTTCAGACTGAAAGTGCCTGATTCCCAGAACTCCTTTATAATGTAAAAGGAACCAAACTTAGTGTGAAGTTAAACTTACTTTGAGCTTAGCTTAAGCGCTTGGTAAATCCAGGAAGTGCTCGACACGTTACACTCGTTGTTTACCTGATGGTCAAAACTGCACCGAGGCCGTTATCACTGCTGTTCTCATTGTATATACCAAAAGAAGAGGAGATACCCAAAACGATACCAAGGTCTGAGCCAGGGAGTCAAACTTGGCAGCCTGACTTCAAAGCCGATATATCTGTCTCCTAGCGTTACAAAAGTAGGTCACGCTTGAAAAGGTACATAATGAGTGGGGTCTTAATATTTGTACAAACAAAAATACTGTCTTTTCAAAATGTACGGTGCTTGGTTATTTCTGTTACATAATTGTAGAAGATGCCGCTTGTGCCCAAGAATCGTCTTTCTAGATAAGAGCCTGTATGTAATGTTTTACATAAATCTGCATAGGGAGAAATCTCTGTGCTCCCTCAGTTAATGGAATTATTTACTTAATAACTGTCTGCATAAGATAATGTCAAATACTCCCACGTATATAGTGGTGTTTGTATGTCTGCGTGCTAAGTATTGTTTGGGTGTAAATTTCACCTGGGCTCCTGTCCCACACTGGTGGGCTTCCCTCGCTTTTACTTTTTCCCTTTTTGGGGGGGAGTGGTTTATAGTTGTAGTTCTTGTCAGAGAATTTCCTTACTACTCTGTGTTAACTTTCCATCCCTGTGACAAAGAACCAAGATAAACACTGGTAAGGAGAAAGGTTTATTTTGGCTCAGAGCTTCAGAGGTTTGGTCCCTTGTTGCGTGGCCTTGCTGCTTTGGTCCTGGAGCGGCACAGTACACCATGGAGGGAGTGTGCGCCAGAGGTGGCAGAGGAGGCTTGTTTACCTCCTAGGAGCAGCGAAGTAGAGAGAGACAGGAAGTGTCTGGGGTTTCAATACCCCTTTCAGAGCCACCGCTGGTTACCTAACTTCCACTAGACACCACCTGTTATATGTTCCACCACCTCCTGTTAGTGCCATGGTCTGCAGTCAATCCCTTCGCCAATCTTTGCCCCAGGAACCACTTTTGTGGAAGGCAGTTTTTCCATGGATCGGGGGTGAGGGCGGTGTTTTCAGTTTCAGAAAGATTCAAAGGAGTATACAACCTAGATCACCCGTGGAGTTCAGAGTTGGGTTGGTGCTCCTGAGACTCACTGGCCTGGCAGGAGGCTGAGCTCAGGTGCTAACGAGCAATGCGAAGCAGCTGTAAGTACAGATGGAGCTCAGCTCCCTTGTTGGCTGTGCACCTTTAAAAGTGGAAACTGTAACATAATGGATAATTCCTCCCATCTACACACAGGGGAAGGAAATTCAGATGCTGGGTAGCAAAAAATAATAATACTATAATTTCTGTTTGAGTACCAAATGAAAGAGGTGGGTTGGGGACCCCTGCTTGTCCCTGTGCCATTGGGGACATTTCAAATCCAAATATAGTGTGCGCTATTACAATCTGCTTGTTTCTTGGAAAATCTTTTAAGACCTCTCGTGGGGGTTGAGTTTAGTTGCCTTCCTCTTATTGCCTCCCAAGATACACTTTAGGCTTTTATTTTTTAGCAGTCGTTATTATAAAGCCAATGAATTATAAGTAATAAATATGGGAACGTTAAAAAGAATCTGGGATCTTATAATAGTGTTTTCAGTATCATAGTTCTTGACGCCTTTCTGCTTCCCTCTGACCTTTGCTTTTGTTTTTTTCCCTGAAGTTGTAATCCAGACAGAAAACATTCTTCCTTGTCTCAAGTAGAAAACACCTACTGGCTTTGATAGCCCTTTCCCTTCGTACATACATTATTTCATAGTCTAGAAAGGCTGAAGTCCCACTTATTGAATTGATGTTTTATGAAATAAAGTAAATCCCTTTTTGTGGTTTCCAGTAGCAAATGGAAAAGGATTGAGAATTCTCTAACTTCTACTCGTATTTTAATTGACTTTATGATTGAAACTAAACTTCCAGAAAATAAACTGAGGGAATAGGCCAATGGTTACAAATTCAAATGCCCAAGAAAGAAGAACCATAAATATGAGTATCAGGATGAATGAATTACAGCAGGTGGTAGTGGGAATAGGGTCAAACCCGAGGTAAATGCCAGTGTAAAAGAATTAGAAGAAAAATAGCACCAACCCCAACTTGTTTAGTAGAAAAGGCTATGAATTTACTGTTTTGGGTATAGCTATACTGGTAACTTTATTAAAATCCATGAGAATTTTTTTTTTAAACTGGGCCATTTTAATATTCTTATAATTTAATAAATCTCTTGATGACTGCAGTTACAAAAGCTGTGGTAGTAGTCACAGTAATGGTGGTTTTCCTCATTGGTCTGTAGTCTTCAATAAGTATAAGAAGTTATTCTATGAAACATCTGTCAAACCAGTAAGACTGCATTGATGCATCCATCATTCTCAGGATTGTTGGTTACCTGAGCATATTTACCCCAGATAACCTTGCCTCCTTGTGCCACAAGGCCCAACTCACGTTCATGTCAATCACTGTACCTTTGGTAATAACACCCAAAGTTGTATATAGTGGTGATGAAGGATTTTTTTTCACACCAAGTATTGGCAGGCAAAAGGTGGCTTTCAGTTCAGGATGTGTTACATGGGCCTTCTTCAAACGTAAGCCCATTGGCCTAATGAACCTGTCGTATTTTGGTGGTTTTCTTGTAAAGCCATCTCCAACAAAGCAGACTTTAGTAACCATCCTCTTCCATGCCTTCTTTTTTCTCTTTCCAGTTTGAATAACTTTCAATACTTCTGTCTCTCCCTGTGCACAAACTTTGGTCAGAGGGACTTCCCATTTTCCTGCCTTTTCTTTTCTTTTCTGTTTAATCATGTTGGAAAGTACTTTTGCCCGAGACTGTCCCTCTCTGTCTAGCAGATAGGCAGGTACTGCTTCCTGAGAAGTCTTTTCATCATTCTTTTGTTTGGTGTTTCTCTTTTCATGCATCTTGATAGTTTTCATTTGTATTTTCCCGGCATGGTGCTGTTTATGGTAGAGCTTAGCCTTCAAGCCATTCTTTTTTTTGCCTTCTTTGAACATTCATGAGCCTCTCGACTTTCCTTCTTTCTCTTTTTCTCATGGTAATCCAAACGATACCTGTAACGTTTACAGTGTAATTCAATATATTCATTTTGTGGCATCGTGACAGCTCTGCAGCCGCCGGGGGTGGCCTCAGGCACGGGAAGAAAAGTTTCAACTTTGGGGTCTCCAAATGTATTTTTTTTAATATAAGTCACTAGGCAGTAGATTTGGTACTGAAAAGAAATTATAGTATTATTATTTTTTGCTACCCAGCATCTGAATTTCCTTCTTTGTGTGTATATGGAAGGAATTATCCATTATGTTTAAGTTTCCACTTTAAAAACCGGGGTGTCATTTCTCCCTCTTATCCCACAGAGCCAGATGTTAGGTACATAATTGAGAATTGAACAGGTAGGTAGATTCTCCCTGCAGCCTACCTCCTATGCCTAGCAGTGGTAGTGAACTTCGGGCATGTGTGCTGCAGCTGGCTGTTTGTAATTATTGAAAGCTCTTCAAGGTTCTCCCTCACTAGCCTAGGGTTTTTAATCCCGAATGAAACAAAGAGGCACAATTCAGGAGTTCTTCAGGGCACTGGAAGGATGTATGTATTGCAAGTCCACCGGTGGAGAGCCAGTGGCAGGACCCGTACCAGACCTTAGTTTCATTCTTCACTATTATCTCTTGTTTTTTGTTTCCTAATCCTGATTGTCAGGTTCTTACAGATTCAAGGAGTAGATTCCTTTTCTACTTAGAGTTAGTTTTAGTTCTTTGCAGCCAAGAATTGTCAGTGGGCTGAATTGGACCCCTAGAATTCATATGTTGAAGCTGTAACACCTGTTATCTCAGAATGTGGATATCTTTACAGATAGGGCATTGACACACAAAGAGACACAAGGGATGTATGGGACGAAGGAAGACAGACAAATGAAGACATGCCAGAAGGTGGCCAGTTGCAAGCCAAGGAGAGAAGAAGCCAGGCCATGGTCTTAGACTGCTAGTCTCCAGAGCTACAAGAAAGTGAACTCCTGTTGTTTTAAGCTAGACAGTCTGGGTTACTTTGTTGTGGTAGCCTCTAGCAAACTAATAAAGGCTCTGATTAAGGACCCAGTTAGGCTATGGGTGTTGCTACTATGATGGGCAGAGGCAGGACTACTAGTTTATCTAAATACGTTCTCCTCATTTTTGGCTATATTTATCTGCACATAGAAATTAATGACCTGTTTTATTGGCTTAAGCAGTACATGTTAGAAAGTATTTTGATTTAAATACCAAATGCTTCAAAGTGCTTCTGATATGCAGTGTCCTTTAAGAAAATTTTCCCTGCAAAGCAAACTTTTACAAAAGACTTGTCAGTGTTTCAGTATGGCATATGAAATCTCTTTTAACTTG